TCCAGAAAACTGTGTTCATTATGTTGCCAAGATTCCAAACACGTCAATAATTGGCGATTTTGGATTGTAGCCCTGGAAACGCAATCTTGTCCTTTACTAAATTAAACTAGAGCAGCTAAATCAATCAATATTTTCTTATCTCCTGTTTACTTGTCCTCTCTAAGTTCAACCAATCTCTATCCCTAATCACTTTTTATTTCTAAAAAAATTTCACATGGCAAAAAGAAATCATCACACAATTCATTACTACTGCGTGATAGGTAAGAATGAGTAGTAAGGGGGACGGAGTTCTGAAAGGGTACACATGTTTTCAACGAGCCTCAGTTGTCAACAGCGGGTGGAACTCCTCCACTGATTGGCACGGGGATGTAGCTCAGATGGTAGAGCGCTCGCTTAGCATGCGAGAGGTACGGGGATCGATACCCCGCATCTCCAATGAGGGAGTGACTTTTGCCGATTCTTCTCGGCATACATGGACCATGACTCAAATTATCTACTTTCAAATCGTGATGATTTATGATTATATTCAGTTTTATTGATTTTATCCACACTTAATTTTGTCGTGCAAAAATGTTGTAGATATTGTGTTGTAAGAAATCCTAATTTTGCAAATTGTATCAACTTTTTTGGATTCTTTTATAAAAATCTTAAGCATCCAGATTTATATCTTGGTTGCAAAATATCTAAAAATACATTATCCAATTAAATTTACCAACCAAAGTTTAGACCAATACTCTTACTTAGATGTAATATATTATTAACACAACATCACCAATATAGCCTAAAGATCCATTACAACCTGCAAGAGAAGAAAGAACCAAGTAAGTCAAAAAATAAATATTTATTATTTGGTTATTTACAAGCATAAGTCTTTTAGTTATATTTCTTTATAACATTAACATGTGAAATTAGAAAATCTGTATGAAATTAGCATTCTATGTTTGATTTGATTTGATTCATCTCTAAAATAAATCTTAATTCTATTATCTAATCTCTTATGGTGTAGAATTATTATTAAATGAACCTATTAAATAATGAATAAGAATTTACTTTTTTGATTCCTAAAAACCTCAATGAAACAATGAAAAAATATATATGCATAGATCTAGAAAATCTTAAGTAAATTAAGTCTCTTCTTAAGCGCTCTAATTGGACTCAACTCAAACTTCCTAGTAGAAAATAAATTATTTATAATATATGTTTAAAATAACATAAAATGAAATAAAAGTGTTCTATGAGATCTAATCAAGTTACATAAATACTATCACAAATATATATATATATATATATATATATATTTAATTAGATTAAAGAAATTAGATAGAAGTTAATAAAAGTAAGTAGATTTGTAAATATCTTATAGTGAAGCATTTTAAAAGCTTTATAGATACACATTTGACTTTTTACAAGTTTTGAGGTGATTGATAGGTGGAAAAGTTGGCCATGGAATTTGCCACATATCACACATGTTGACTTGTAGTATAAGTTGGCCATTTAGGATAAATATAGGAAACTTGTCTTATAAGTTAAACATGTGTCTTGTAAATTGGACGCATGTTAGAGGTCTTGTAGAATATCATTCATAACTCTTAGTTAGATAGTATATATAGAAGTAAGAGTGAAGCCTTCTTCACTCTTGTCAACTCTTTTCTTACTTTAGTCTAGTTTTAAGAATTTCTAGTTTTCTAGTCTTTGATAGTAGTTATTTCAATTTCTTCTTGAATATACATATTTTCTTTTTTCTTTTCTTTTCTCATCTTTCTTAGAGAAATCTTTCACTTGATTATTTACATTCTTTGAGTTCTTAACCTTGAAAAATTTACAAGATTGCATTTACAATATCAAAACTTTATCTTTTCTTATATAAGTGTGGATTATCTCTTTTTCTTGATTAAACATAAATATATTAGAAGATGGAGATTATCCATATAATAGGGCATGAATAGGATGGTTGTAATATTTGCACATAAAGATATGAAGTTGAAGTTGTTTTTGAGAAGCTTCTAGAATTGAAGTTAGGATAGTAGTTCATATGGGATCTACCATAGAACCTTCTAGAAAGGCTTAGGATAGTTTTCATGGTAGAATCCACCCCTAAAATCTTCTAAAAGAGCAATTATCTTAGTAGAATCCACCATTAGGGACATTCTAGAAAGTTTTACGATAGTTGAAAAAAATATAAGTATGAAGGACTGAAGCCATTTGGAGCATTTGGTGAGATATGGCTTTAAGCTCTTTCTCTTGGTAAAGTTTGATTTTTTTGTTCTATTCTATTAGGTTTTTTATTTTTTATTTTTTTATTTTTATTTTGTTTGGTTTTTTTTGGTTTTGTTTGATTTTGTTTGGTTTTGTTTGGTTTTATTCTCTTCTATTCAATCCTGTCTTTTGAATTCCATTTTGTTTAGTTACTTTTAGTTTTATTTTGATATGCTTGGTCTTACATTGTGTTGAGATTTTTTTTTGTTTTTAAGTCATCTCTTTTACTTGTTATAAGTAATATTAGATATCTTTTTTAATATTATATTATGATAAGAATGCTTGCTTAAATGAAGAATGTAATAACAAAAATACAAGAATAAATGAGAGAATTAATACTTACAATAAATTAATTCAATTTACCACCACAAGAAGAAACAAGATTGATAAGAAGTGCATATGTAGAAATGTTCAAATTTGCTTCAACATCTACATCAAAGTATTGTACTTCTCTTATGGTGGAACATTGTTCAAGTATTAGAGAATCCAAAATTGTCTTGCTCAAGAAGTTTGATGGTACAAGATCAAAGTTTAAGATTCATCATAAAAGTTTAATTTAAGATTGAACTTCATTGTCAAATCTATCCAACTCCAAGATTACAAGTTATGTTTATTGGAACACTACTTCAAGTTTTGCTTTATCATGAATTTCATCTTTTTTAAAATAATTTAATCTAATATTAAATAAATTAAAAGCTTTTTTGGTTGAATTTTGATCTATGTAAAGAAAATATAATGCAATTTGTGTTTCAATCCACAAGATTTATATTTTGCAACAAAGCAACTAATCAATAATATTATATGCTTCATAATTTCAACAATTTGTGATTGATATTAAGTGAGCTGATTTTGCACTCATCAACCAATTTCTCTACAAATTACAATATGAAATAAAGTGTATTTATATTATAGAGAATTTAAGCACACTGCTCAACATTGTCTAATAAAGTGATGTAACCACAAAATAAGAAATATAGCTATAAAAGAAGTCAATAGGTTAGAAAATGAGTTTCTAAAAAAAACAATTAGAGTAGAAGAAAATAATGGTGTCATCCTTAAAAAAACTATTATCCCATAAGAAAAAAGATCTATTCCTCCATTCTTTTTAAACTAACAAAGGAATAGATTCCATCAAGATGCACAATAACAAGGGCTTGCAGATTACATTCTGAAAGCTAATCCATCTTCTCATGTTAATTCATGGAAGTAAGAAGAACATTTACTGGAAGAACCATATTTTAATAATGAATTCAAAAGGGACTTTGTTTAAAGGTTAGAAGATGCATTGGAAATAGCTCTCATGAACAAATATAATAATAAAAAGGATATACATTTTCTTGATATATCAAAATATATTATTGCAAGGTTAAACTCAAATATTATTACTATATTCTATACCATTAATACCTTGATAAAGGTTCTGATAATTATTATAGATGGTTTGAAAATACAAAAAATCAAATCAAATCAAACATAGAATGCTAATTTCATACAGATTTTCTAATTTCACATGTTAATGTTATAAAGAAATATAACTAAAAGACTTATGCTTGTAAATAACCAAATAATAAATATTTATTTTTTGACTTACTTGGTTCTTTCTTCTCTTGCAGGTTGTAATGGATCTTTAGGCTATATTGGTGATGTTGTGTTAATAATATATTACATCTAAGTAAGAGTATTGGTCTAAACTTTGGTTGGTAAATTTAATTGGATAATGTATTTTTAGATATTTTGCAACCAAGATATAAATCTGGATGCTTAAGATTTTTATAAAAGAATCCAAAAAAGTTGATACAATTTGCAAAATTAGGATTTCTTACAACACAATATCTACAACATTTTTGCACGACAAAATTAAGTGTGGATAAAATCAATAAAACTGAATATAATCATAAATCATCACGATTTGAAAGTAGATAATTTGAGTCATGGTCCATGTATGCCGAGAAGAATCGGCAAAAGTCACTCCCTCATTGGAGATGCGGGGTATCGATCCCCGTACCTCTCGCATGCTAAGCGAGCGCTCTACCATCTGAGCTACATCCCCGTGCCAATCAGTGGAGGAGTTCCACCCGCTGTTGACAACTGAGGCTCGTTGAAAACATGTGTACCCTTTCAGAACTCCGTCCCCCTTACTACTCATTCTTACCTATCACGCAGTAGTAATGAATTGTGTGATGATTTCTTTTTGCCATGTGAAATTTTTTTAGAAATAAAAAGTGATTAGGGATAGAGATTGGTTGAACTTAGAGAGGACAAGTAAACAGGAGATAAGAAAATATTGATTGATTTAGCTGCTCTAGTTTAATTTAGTAAAGGACAAGATTGCGTTTCCAGGGCTACAATCCAAAATCGCCAATTATTGACGTGTTTGGAATCTTGGCAACATAATGAACACAGTTTTCTGGATTTATCTTTTTCTGCTCAAATGAAAGATTTGACAAAAGTATGTTTGTCCACCACATGCATATGTACAAAATGAGCTTGAAACAAAGCAACAATGCCTCTCCCCATTTGGGGGGCCAGCATTGTCTGTTCTCCAACTTTTATCATTGGGCAAAAGGTGCTTTCACCCCTTTGGATAGCACGTTGGCCCCATTCAAGCCATCATTTCTATTCCTCATTCTGAGCATGGTTGCCAGCCTAAGTGACAAGTGGGGCTCGTTGAAAACATTTGTACCCTCTGAGAACTCCGTTCCCCTCGCTAAGACTCACCCAACTTTGAAAACGATGAGAGTAACTTCAGAGAACTTTTGCAGAATGTGCAATTGATTTGAAATATGTTATTGCTTATAACCAAGAGACACATAAACTTGAAGTTAATGGCCATGGTGAGTATTTATTTGGACGCTTTCCGAACATCTGCGAAAATGCTCCAAATTAAGACTAGGAACACATGATAAAAAGGTGGAATCGTCTAGTATCCAGAGTTCGAAGACAAAAATCTACTCGAGCCATTAATATTTTCCAATACGTCTTTAGGGTCATAAAAGTTGGCAATGCTCCTTCAAAAGAAATTGGCAACTTCGGAGAGAAAATTGATATCCACTGAAAACATGTCCTGAACTACCTGAGACAAAACAAAATCTTAAGGTTTCTTCCAAAACAAAATCCATATCCTTATTCTGAAGCACAAATTTTGCTCTTCAGAGTCACTCGAACAAATTTCTCATAGCTAGTATCCCGTATACAACTAAGAGCAGCAGCAAAGTGACGACGCAGTGAGCTGATTCACGTTGTGAGACAAATAAAATCAGTAATACAGCGTTTTACTGTAGAGATTTTCCTGCCACTAGAAATGCAATGGAAAAAAGCATTCACGCCGGAAAGAGGCTTTCACAATGCTCATCTTAAGAGCAAGCAACAAACCAATTCATAGAGAGCACTCTTTCTGCAAAATCAGATCGCCAAGGCACAGGTAACAAGTAGGCTTCTTACTCGTGACGAACCTTCTTGTGATCTCGGTCAGACCAGTCCCTATCTTTGTGATCACCCCGGTGACGTTCCCTCTCACCATCTGGACGATGTTGATCGTACCTGCTAGTTAAAGATTAATAATCAGTACAACCAAACCACCACAACCTTGAAAAACATATCTCAGTTACTGACATGGTAAACAAATTCACTATATCACAATCACAGTGCCTCACATTCCCTGGTTTCAAAAACTCAACGGTGATGCAGAACCAGTGAACTGTGCTCATTAGAACTTCGAGAGATGAATTCAACCTGAATGCTGTAGCAATTTCTAGACAAAATCTGTCACTTAGAAAGCCTGCATAATGGTATATCGTGAGAGAAACAGAAGACATTCATGTGAACTATAAGCTTTGCATATTAAAAAAACACTACGAGGTCCAATAGGTACCTGTGATGTGAATGGTGATAGTAGTGGTCCCGGTTATGGGGAAAGTGCCTTCCGTCCTTGTAGCCATCCTTTCGATTCCCATACTGTTCACGACTTCCATGGTGTCGTTTTTGAGCCCCAGGACTCAAGCTACGGTCAGAGAGGGACCTCTTCTCTGCTGATCGTGGTGGAGACCTAATAGTACTGCTTGTGCTCGGCACTTCACCCTCTTCTACCCTCTCAGGAGAACGATCCCTTTGCGCCCGGTTGTCCCTATCTACATCCATATGGTCATTACGTTCCAGTGACTTTCCCTGAAGGCAACAGCACGCATATTAGAATCTGATTAGTGAGCATCTACAACGCCTGGTGGAGCCAACCAGATTAGCAACCAAGGAACAGAAATCCAAGCAGCAGAGTTGGATAGGAGCAACCACGGAAGGACTATGTGAAAATTTCAAATTAAGAAAACTTCATTTGTGATTTTGAAACGTTTAAAATATAGGGTTTAGGCATCACATTTCTGAAAAAAAGTTAAGGTCTGTCTCAAGTTTTAAGGACTTCACAAAGCTAGATGTTTCAAACTATACTCATTTCAGCACCATTGTTGTAGAAGAAGGTTAACAGCAAGAAGACTTGTTTCTTAACCTAGTATTATAAATGCTCCATCCAGAGGTATGAAAGGTACCTGCTTCCTTTCGTGTGCATATGATTCCTTCTCCTTCACAATTTTCTTCCTGTTTGAAGCAGCAAAATCACCCTCGGCCACTCGTTCTTTCAAATTAATCACATCATGCTCAACCTTAGTACCCTTCACCTCCCCCTCCTCTTTCACCCTAGACTTTATGGTACCTGATTGATATTCCTTGCCACCTCCAAAGTCATGCTCGCCTCTTAAGGGCTTCCTATCCTTCCTCTCTTTCCCAAACTTCACCGCCTCTGCTGCAGCATCCACTCCGCTCTCAAGCTCCCTTTCCAGCAGCTCTTCTTCATTCGTTGGTTCATGTTTAACACCTGGAGGTTTCAACTCGGACCCTACCCGTGCTTTCCTTCTTTTCTCTAACGCTGCTTTAATCTTGTCCTTATTAACTTCATCCAAACTTACAAACTCTTTTTTCCTGTTCTTCACTTCTGTTTTAGTAAAACACTCCACATTCTCGGGATTCGAGACCGTGCTTGCCTTCTCTTTGATCTTCTCCTTTCCATTCCAAGTCTCGTTTCCTTTTCGTCCTCCGGCATCATTCAGCTCAACTCGAGAAACATTGGTTTTCGCCTCCTCTCGGTATTCATTGTTTGCTCTCAGAGTCTCCTTTTTTACCACTGTCTCCTGCTTGTTTCTCCCGTTCAAAGCCGGCACTCCAGATGTATCTGGAATGACATTATGCCTAGCATCTGAAGGTCGATCGGAAGGAGGGTCGCTGTAAGCACTTACCGTATTAGGAGTGTACAATGATGACGATGACTCCATCCTGCCACCAACATAATCATCATCTCGCTGGCTAAAAGTTTCATCCAATTTTAGTTGAACTTCTGATTTTGCCAAAGGGCTTTGATGATCATGATGATGATGATGACCGTTTGTAGAAGGGGATTCTACAGGAGCATGGCCACGATTCATTTCTGAGGGGCTTGGATCATTGGCAAGGGAGCCTGTCGGACCATTGGATTTGTTCTGCTCATACAATTCCAGCATTTGATTGCTTACTTCTGCAAACCAGACAAGGCTTTAGTAAAATAGAGCTTGGATAGTAGCATGATAGTAGAGTTTAGGCATCTGCTGGAATGTGAACGAGGTGACCAACCTTCCAACTGTCTAGGGGTTACTTCAAACTGCTGCCACCACACCTTGTCTCCATCTTTGGGCAGATTCACTTTCAAAAACTTGGCAGCCAAGAAGATAGCTCCCGCAGCAATATGATGAGGCTTGAATTGCAGGCACAACGATGTGCGAAGACTGCACAACCCTTTCCCCTTGCCTCAGCTATTCTCACTTGCAACAGACATGCTCATTAAACATGTTCTTCTGTAATATAGCTTACCTGGCAAATCTCTAAGGACAACAATATGACTGTGTGAGCAAAGTAACAACTATTCTCTGACCAGGGAACCTCACTGGATGATACACTCATTCAAAAAAAGAAGCAAATGGAAAACACAATACACCAAGTATACATACGATTTGTCAAGGTGAAAGAATCGAAATTGCCCTACCATAATCACAACACCTACTCTGAAGGCAAATATAACTCTTTTTAGCAGCAATAAGATATTCCGGTCCTACTTAACCAACCTGCACGAACTCCAAGGTATAAACTAATTGAGTTGCGCAGGAAGCAGGGAAAGGGGCAACATCCCCAGAGCAATGCAAAATAGTACAAGACCCTGATAAATTTAGTGGTTCTTGCCATACTCACCCATCATTTACAAAATTCCAAGCAACCTGCGCCAATGTATTCTGAGCTACTTTGAACTTCTTGATAGCTGCCACCAAGGGTTTGTATGGATGATGTACATTTAGGTCAAAGCCCAAAGTGGTCAGCAATAATCGCTCACCCCCCAATACCAGCTCCTTTTGGTCTTCATATACATCCTAACGAACAAGGAGAGAGCTCCACATAAGAAGAGGCCGCAAGTGATTACAACAGTTTCCTATTTTCCAAACACAGCCTCGAGCAAGCCCCTTTAAATATTCGAAGTTGAAATGTTACGCAGGTCCAAAGGAACCTTAGCACTATCACGTCATTCTAAAAAAAATACTTTACTTCTAAATTGAAGGGCCCAAGCCAAGGAAGACCCCAGGCATTTAAAATCTCCAGTCCCAATCAGCTAAAAGAAAAGCTTGGCATCGAAGTATACCTTTTGTCTGATTCGCTGCACAGCAATAGGATCCTTTTTGAACCGAATTTCGTAAGAGAACATGATGACTTCTCGAAGCGGCCGAGGAGTCTCCTCCACTTTCCCAGCCAGAAACATACATATAGTTGCGACCATCTGCCAGCATACACACAACACAAAACAATTCATATAATGACAACATAATTCCTTGTAAGAAAAGGTGCAGACAAAACTGCTTCTAATTCTTAATAATAAGTACGTTCCAAACCTGAAGATGGAGATACACTCACGTGTCTGTCATTCTTCTTATGCGATTGACGATGGAAAAACCGATGGCAAAACACAATGGCTGTTGCAATAGTCACCTGAGGTCTGCGTCATCTCATAGAAAAGCGGCACATGTTATTGCCGAACTACGAAACAAACATACTATACTAACAATCTAAGTTCAGTATGTCGCAAGATTTCTTAGCTGAACCTCGGAATCCAACACACTTCAAAACAAAGCGGAAACAAAGTGGCATGCAAATCCAAAACGTGGAAACCATATTAACTGTACACTAATACCAGGATCGAATTCTTACACTTTCAGTCGCATGCCAAGGTCTTGCAAAAACGTGCAGTAAGACTTCCGAAAGTAGGTCTCTTTCTTAATGTCGATTCCATCCAACCTTGAAGGGGACTGTTTCTCAATCTCGTCCCGACTGAAATACCAATTAGCGCTTGAGTGATCAGGTTCCTCGAGCTTTCCATTTCCAGTGCTGGCGCCCGCTAAGGCTAATTGCGCTGTAGCATCTGCGCCACCTAGTAAACCTGCCATAGCAGAGTAATCTAGAACCTAAACCTTGTAACTCCCAGTTCTTTTTTCCTCGTCCAGGAAGAAAGTCTTTCAAGTGGAACTATCTGCAAGCTGCGACAGAAAAGATCTCCAGATTGAAGAGGTGAAGTCTCCAGGATCTGGTCCAAAGAGAACGATAGCTTGTTCATATCCTCAACAGCACCAGCAATGAAATTCTTCGCTCCGCATAGATGACTCATACATGTGAAATCATAGTCAAATCACATGGTCACTGGAACCTGCTTCCTTCGTATCAAAACTTGTATTCTAAAGAAGCTTTAAGCTCACATATCAAGGATATCATGATCGCGGACCGTCAGAATATTAAATCTTACACGATCATCGGAAAATTCCGATAAAAATACAAAAGATGAATCTTCTCTTCTGTGTTCTAACGAATGAACTAAGACAGCTAGCTCTTACAAAAAAAAATCAAAAATATTTATTTATTTATTTAAATAATAATAAATATCGCTGTGGGTGCATATGTAATAGAGACACGACCTCTATCACGGATGTAACTCAGTGAGAGCAGGAAATCGGAAATACAAGAAAGTTCCGAAAGTATCTACCTCACAATTCTAGGACAGGACGGGGAGAAGAAAAACTTTTAAATCCCCGAACGAGAAATATGAGCTTGGTCTCAAGGAAATTTAACCTAAAAGAAGTGTTGAGGTTGGATAAAACCAGCAGAACAGAGCAGGAGCATACAAAGCGCAGTGCTGCACCCAATGGATCTGCAACAAGGATCGGCACGGAGAATATGAAGCAGATTATGCCATATAAGAATCGTCACCCTGAGCCATAAACTGCGACAACAGAATCCGAAAGTTACAAACATGCAAAGAAATAGCTAAGGTCTCTGTATAGAGGTGCTTTTGCGTTTCTTCTAAAAACTAAGAAACGCAAAAGCACCTCTTTAATGCTGATGGAATCAAATACAACCAGCTCAAACCTCATCTCCACACTAAGGTCGCAAATGCACAGATGTTATACTTGATGATCTATTATCAACGTATCGTTCACAAACTACGGCAAAAACATATCACTTTGTAAGAAGACCAGCCTCACCATCGGGTAAATTAGGGGTGCGAACGTCACAAAATAAAGACCTTTCCTTTGCGCTCACAATTCCTTTATGAAAATGTCTGCGATTTGTAACCTAACTGACAAGTTCGACTCTCGTATTCATTGGAATTCCAGACATTGTACGGTAAAACATAAACTTGCGACGGACTCAGCTCCAGCAGATTCAACCCACTAACCTACCTGTGCATGTTAAGCTCTACTGCAAATGCACATTTTCTCGTGCTTATCCTCTCTCAAGTTTCACGACACGTCTGAGCGAAATCCTCTAAAAACCAAAATTCAGCTCAAGCACAACTAGATTACAAGACTGCTGACTCAGAAAACAGAGCCTCCCCATACAACCCAAATAAATTAATTAATAAATAAAAACGGCCATTTTCTTCACTCATACGTGGTGCACTCAGCTCCTAGTAATCAAGTAGAATCTCGCCCCAATTCCACTCCGCTTAAAATCCTAAAACCCCAACCCCCCATAAATCATCCAAATCAACCCCAATTCTCAAAACTACAAAGAAGTCGATAACACATACCAATCCAGCCCGACGAAATCGCAATCCCAAAGCCGAGATCCGCAACAACCACCACTATCACAGCCACGGAAACTCGCCTCAATGACTGGAAAACGCAAACGCCTCGACAATCCGGGGGGGGGGGGGGGGGGGGGGAAAGCCTCACACCTCGAGACAAAATTGGACAAATTCAAAACCCTCCCCCGCTCTCAATGAACCTCTTCTCCTTCCCACATCACCGCACAAGGGCTCCTCATGAACTCAACCCAGATTCAAGCGCCCCACTAGGCCTCCCCTTGCAAACCCCACCTTCACATCCGATCCCCCAACGATTCTTTCGAGAAGGAAGCTAAAAATGACTCAATCCGCGGGAAAAACGGACAAAGGGGTATCACACGAAGCGGGAGAAGAGGGGCGTGTCGGAGAGAAAGAAAAGAGTAGTAACGAAAGGGCAAACAGGGGCTGAGAGGACCGGCAAGAGCGATGGTGGACGAGAGAGAGAAGCCACGTCGACGACAACAACGACGACGACCACGGCAAACCCTAGTCCCGGAGCACACACGCACCGGCCTTGCACTCATCCCCCCATTACGGTGTTGATCCCCCTTCATATCCGCGGTTTCAGGCCTTTCCAATTCCATGGTCTTGGGTGCCTTTCATTTCCTGTTTCCGGGCCCCTGACTTTTGTAAATGGAAAATTGCCATTGTCGTAGCATCACAGTGTAATGCAACTAAAAGTGGGCTTTAAATTGTGGAAAAGTTCAAACTCTTCATGTTCTTGGGTTCATAAAAGTTTGTGCACTCAATTGTTCTACAAACATTGTTTTTTTAATACTATAATTGAACCTTTGGTGTTATTTGGGCAAGTCTTTCTTAAGGAATTAAGAAGGTTTCTTGTAGTCTTTAATTATGAAGTTTTTATTGAAGAAAAAGAACTTTGAAGTCATAACACAGCATCAACGAGGCTGCACACAAAAAGAGTATGAAGTAAGATATTTCTCACTTCCAACACCCATTACTTTTAGGTGGTGGTTGCTGCCCTAAAAGACAACTTCCACTCTTTGATTTTTACACACATAGTCCTAGGATCCTTTGTCATTTAACTTACCATGAGGGTATCCTATATCCAACACTAATTACTCTTATTTATTCTTTAAATATTCTTTAGTTGATACTTTATTTTCTTGACTTTGAATCTTAACCCTTGACCTCATCCTATATCCATAGGATGTCCTTTCTATATACCAAGAGTCAACTTTTTGACTATTAATAACTTGCTTAAGGTAATAACTTTTACAAGGTAAGTTATTTCACTTTTGCTTATGTTAACAATTTTGGTATCTAAAGTCTATGTAGAGAAAATATTGTGATTAAAAAAAGATAGTTGATTTCAAGTGATTCTATATTTTCATTGTGTTTTGATTGTAATTAAAACTTGCAAATTTTTTGGAAGCAAAAAATGAATTGTTTTATAAATTAATTCACTTTATTTTGAAATAATATTTTGTACTATTAAACAAAAATAAATATAAATTTTTAAAATATTTTTTAAGATTATAATCCATTGTTTTTGAAAATCTAACAATTTTTATTCCTGCACTATTCAAATATTCATAAAATCATTTTACACCAATTTTATTATTGTTTTAACTTTTTGACATCTTTGCTTCTAATTTTCATTTATAAATTTGTAAGAAATAGAAAGAAAAACAACAAAATATATCTAAACCAACAAATAATAATTATTTAATGAGATTCTATGTTAATGATGAAACAATTTTGATATGAAGGAAGACACTAAATTTGAAATGAAAAACTACAATTCAAAACCATGCTTTCTTACAAATAGTCTTAGATGCTATAAATTCCAAAAAACACTCAATAGATTGTGTATATATATAGATGAATATGTTTAAGAGATATTAATGAGTAATATCATAAATCTAAAAATTAGATTACAAACTCATGAATACAAGAAAGAAAATTGCAACAAAAAACAAAAAGAAAATATAGACTTTTTGTATAATTAATCAAGCATTAAAATTTCAATACTAAATTTAAAAATAAATTAAACTAAAAATAAATTAAGACTAAGACCAATTTAAAATATATAAATATAAATATATATAATAGTAGAATCTGGGTATTTAGCAATTCATGTAATTGATAATGTTTGTAAAATATATATTCATAGTATTAAGGATAAATTTAGGATAGTAATTTTCTAAATTTAAGCAGCATAAATTAATAATGATTTGATAATATAAAAGGCTTGTTGAATGCCAAGTGAGACTCATTGTATTCAATTCTTCGTGTTTTTTTGCTTGGTAAGATGATTTGAAAATTAGTTATTTCCAATTCTTATTGCTCCAACTTACATTAGTCCAACTTCAACATACATGCACTATATTCTATTGCATAATGAAAAACCAAACTAACAATGTTAAATTCATAATTTTATAATAAGAATATTTTTAACACAATTAAATTTAAATACAAATTTTTTCATAGAAAAAAAAAATAATAATAAGACTCAATAATGTTAATTCTAATAAATTAATATTACAATACAAATATTTGAGAGGATGCTAACAAATCTCTATTATCTTTAACCATAGTATAAATATTTTCAACTTTGCACTTTTAATGATTTTGTGGAAAAAACTTTAAACTTGAAATCTCATAAATTAAGAAAATTATACTAAAATATCTTTCTTGTAATATAAAATTGGATTTTTAATCCAAATAACCAAATTACAAATTTATAGTACTATTTGTTTTAATAGTGTTAAAAATATGTGTGCAATCAGTAATATGACATTAAGTCAGTAAAATTATTTAAATATGGAACAATATAGTGTTAATGGATTGTTAATAATCTGTTTTTAATTCTCTTGGACATATTTCATTTATACTTGAGATCATGCAGAACTTTTACTTTTAGTTTGTTTTGTAATACATTATCTTGCACATTGACACAAATGAATTTTGTTTTTTGTTTTTTTGTTTTCTTTAGTGATAAAAAGTTTGATTTTTTTTTATTGTTTATATAAATACTTTACTTTAACTTGAAATAAGTAATACCATATTGGAGTTAACAAACAAAATAAATGAACATAAATAAAGATTATGTACATAGCATAGACTCAAAACTTGTGTAACACAACAGATTCAATAGAACATTGTTTTGCTTTATTTGCATGACTATGATATTGCAGTGCTGAAAAATTGCAACAATGAAATGTATGACAATGTGTCCATGTCACATTGAAGCATGTCACAAGGTTTTGCTTCAAAGAATTGTTGATCTCATTTTTCAAAATGCAACATCCCAAAGCATCCAACAGATGTTCAACAACTACAAAGGCTCTGCTACGTTCATGCTTCATGATTATATGGATTCAAACTGATTACATTAAGAATGTTACTAAAGGAATGTATCAAGTGATTTTTATGAAATGGAGGCATCTTGTAGACACTTGGCTCCACCCAAAATGAGTTTTCACGAAGCTATGTTATTTGTCCGCAAGACACGATCTCGTTTGGATACGATCCCCTATTATCCTGTCAAAATCACTAAATAATTAGCGATTCACGTTGTTGGGTTTTCACATTTTTTGTCAAGAACATGCAAATGTGTCAAACTGAAGGGTGAACAAAAATCACTTTCAGGTACGTTGATTGAGATCTAATTCAAGAGAGGATCCCTTGTGTCAGCCCTGATTACCATGAGCTTAGGTGCCCTTGGTCGCAATTTTAAATTGAGCACACAGTGAAAAATCAAACACTAACAACCATATCCCATCACAAAAAAAGTGATTCACAAATGTCTGATCTATCTCGATCACTGATCTTTGGGTTTTAAAAAGAGCTTTTCATCTTGATGGAGCACAGGGATTTGAACAAGCAACAGCATTGTCGGGATATGTCCAATAGGTTGTATGGTTACCAGACAGGACTATCGCTAGAGTCAGGAGCAAAACTGAAATGGTGCACGAATATGAGCACCAGAGATGGAACTTAGACTGCACGGAGTTTAGGGTTCGTGAAATGGTGCATGGGTACGACTCTCAATCCACTCTGTTCTGTGAAGTCTAGGCTGAAGTGTCCATTGTATCAGTAGTTCCTGTGGCTGACTCTGCGGCTGTTTCAGACGAGTCCTCAATCATGGCGTCGCCTTTCTTACCTGCCACAATAGTCCACACTCAGTACGACATTATTATGTTCGACAATGACTAACCACATCTTCGAGCAAATTTTGAACGCTCTCCAAATTTGATATGGAAGGCGATCTGGCAAACCATACGATAGAATAGCACTGAACAAAGAATTCTTACACAACAAAAATTGCAGGGATGCTTAAGGTAGTCCTCACCTTTTTTCTTCTTACCACCACCCTTCTTTTTGGACTTAGTACCCAAAGCCAACCAAGCTTTGATCTCTGGGTCCTCGGGAACTTTGGTCGACTGACATTCTTGAAGTGGCAGACCAGTTATCTTATCGGATCCGTTGGGCATGAGCAATACAGTGAACTTAATGTGGGCTACGCAGTCACCTGCCAGTAAAACATGGGACATGCTTGAGTAAGAATTATTTAATGCATCGTACTCCACCTGAGCAAAAAAAGATGCAACATACACCTGTGCAGAGAATGCACGTAGCCAAAACAGGACACGCCAAGCAGCTAGTGCCATCATCATGTACTACAGTTGTCCCACATGGTCAGCGATAGAGGGTTACATACCGGGCTTTTCGTGAAGAACAGGGTAGGGCTGAAGCAGTTCATGGTTAACACACTCCACGATACCAAGGCGGGCCCTCTTCTCTTCTAGAGCTCTGAATAAATTAGCAGCACGAGAGCGCAAATTACATGCTGAAGACAAATAAATACCAATAGAAAATAGGTGTAGAATGCAGATGTCAAGAAACACTACACGTGAACAACGAAGATACATGAAGCAGAAAGAAAAGAAAAGAGGAGAAAATAAAAACGAATATTACTTCCCACACAGATCATAGTGATAAGTAAAAAAGAGCTAAAAGAAACATGAATTATGGAGGAAAAAATAGCGCTCTACGAGTTGCAGAAAGCAGTACCTAGCAGTGAAAGGCATAATAGGGAACTTGGTATTGATTTCGCTGAAGATGAATCTTGATGCCTTCATTTTCAGGTGATAATTCTTGTCCACAGCCCTCTTATACACTGTGGTCTGCTTCTCATCTAACAACTTGGGCTGCATCGGAACAGTGATGAAACATTAATGCCATGGTCCTGAAGGACTTCAGTTAAGTTCAAAGATAACTATCTGCTATACCTATAATTAAATGAAGGTAGAATGCCCAGTAATGTGATACAAAAGCCTGGCCTTTTAGCATAGTTCTTAGAAGTTCTCGACAAACTTGTATGGTGAAAAATAATCCAGTGCAGCGAGTGGTATACTGATAGGAATACCTTTCCATCACCCGTACTGGTCACGATGTCAATTGCATAGACCTCGTTTTCCTCGAACTCGGCATCATCTACACGCGTTTCAGGGTTCGATACACTCAGGATTACTTTGTTAGCATCGATGACAAACTGCTTGAGCTGATGACTCAACACACCCTCGGCAATCTTGCAATCGTAGGCAGCCGCTACCTTCTGAATTGCATCGGTCACGTCCTTGTTCTGCGAAAGAGAATCATTTTTTCATTACTATCATAAATATTTGAACAAACCATAATGAAGCAAAAACCAGTGAGTTTAATATGAAGTGAGACAAACAGAAGCATACCTTCTTTCCAGGCCTGACTAGGCGAAGCGCAACTTCTGCAGCTGTATGAGCAGCAGCCAGAACATCCGCGGCACGACCAGTTACAGGTCCTTCGCTAAGAACATGGGTGTGTGCAACGACGGCTATAAAACCATCAACATGGCAGCCTAGATCTCTGCAATCCAACCAAATATGGTTCAATACTGTGAAAACACTGAAGAACCAGTTGACCAAATGGAGACCATTGTACACTTACAGGAAAGTGTCGCCTAACGTTATTTCAGTTATAATCGTTACCTTGCAGACGAGAAAAGTATTAATGTATTAGATAGAACGGGAAAATCCGTATAATATCAGCTACGGTAGCCAAAGTCTTCGAATGAAAACCCAAAGGGCGTAGTATTTCCTGCTGTAAGGGATAGAAAAACTAACAACACGTAAATGCTTAATTAACCCTCTTCAAGACTTACATTTTGACAATGTCATTTGCTGCAAGAACAGATTCGTCGCTGGCCAAAGGCGAGAAGTGGCATACGGTGTTGTTGACAGAGACACAAGTGGGAAATGCAACTCCCTTGTCAATTTTTTTCTTGGAGTTCTTGTACATGAGCGCTGTTAGACTGCCAGAGAAGAGATTTTGTCAGCAGACGTACACGATCAACTCTATCGCTTTAAGAGAAGTGGTTCTACGCGACATTACTGTACAACAGTGCTTGCTGACAATCCTTTGAAAGTTCGCTTAGCACTGAAATATAAAATACTGACCCTGTACACTAGAAACAGGCACGGCGAGCGACCAAAGAGACACATTCTCACGTACACAAACTCGAAATTACACAACTCACATTCCTCAAGCTGATGATCACGTTAAATGGTTTCTCATGATTAACTTTGTCAAGAGAGCTCTCATGAGATAGACATTGTCATTGAAATCTGCAATGACAAAAGGAAAGAAATAACCAGCTGACTCACTCGCGAATCGAAGAATCGCCCTTCTCGCAAAGGTCGACGATCTTCGCTCCTGGCTTGCAATCGGCCAGGACTGCTTGCAAGGCCTCTGCGAGATTCAAGTAGAAGCGGCACCAAAAACCCCAAAATCATCATCTGATCCATGGCAGCATCAAAGCACTTTCTGCTCTAACCTATTCTCGAGGCATGCAGAGCTGCATAAACATGCATGTTCCTGCTCTCAAAGTGTGATCTGAGATATAATCAATATCTATAATTCCATTCCCACCTTGCCAACCAACATCAACATGCACAAAATGATGCAAGGGGCTCGACTGCACCCTCCAAACTTCCAATGACGACCTAAAGCAACCAAAACCAATCTAGAGATTCAACCCAGGTCATTCACACGGCCCAGAAACGACAACCACTCGCAATAGCACAAAGAAAACCAACAAAATCCCCATGCCACTACTTTAGCATTTTCATCAAACCCTAATATCAAATGTGAGGCATTCAGAGATAAGCAACGTACTGTTAGCGACCTCGGCCGCGCACTTATACTTGGTGACGACATCCGGCGACGTCAAGTCGAGCTCCTTCTCCTCTTTCACCTCATCATCCGACATCGCGTCACGCGGGTTTCAAAACAAAACCGAGCTCCTCTCAACTCCTGACCCTCACTGCCTTGAACAGGTAGAAAACGCAGCTCAGTCACCTCAACACGGCTCTGAGCAATGCGCAAGACGAAAAAAAAATCTACAACTGAGGCCACCGTGTAGCAGAGCAAAAGAGGGGGTGTCCGAGAACGACGCAGGGAACGACAGACAACGATGCAGGGGCTCCGCCGAGGACTTGTGTCAAGCTCTTGTCAGTGACACGAGAGCCGCCCCGATTAGGGCTAAGCAGCAGGCATCAAACCCTAAGGATAGAATCTGCAAGCATATTCATACCCTTGGATGAAATCAGATGGGTATGGATGAACTATTGTGCCATGTCATCACGCCATCCTTACTTATCTCCTTTCTGCCCGCGCAGTTGCGAGCTCCCCAGACGGACTGCCATATTTAATTAATTAGTAAATTCATTATTTATGATTTTTACGACACCACCCACTCTCGTGACATTTTATTTTATTTTATTTTGATTTTTGTTATTTCTCAAAAAACTTCTAACCCATAAATGTTTTTGCAACATATTAGACTATTTCTCCATAAAAGTTTTTTACAATATTTCTTCTATTTCACTCATTGTTTAAAACTTATCACATGTTGTGGATTTTTTTAAATTACCAAAAAATATATATACGTTTTGAAATTATAATTAAAGAAAAATAGAAAATAAACAATTAATATTGTAGTCCTTACCTCTTCTATCTTTCTATATATATATATATATATATATATATATTCAAGGACTACTTTTTTACTTTTTATTACTATATGTATTTTTTTTTTTCTCATATCTATTTCTACACTAAATTACTTATAATTTGATATTATTGTTTTCATTTTTTCTATTACATTTCCTATAAACTTCAAACTTATGATTGAGATTTGCTAGATAAAATTTGTGTTTTTTTTGACAATCAATTATAATTTCTTCTTTCTTTTTTGATGATATTTGATACATCAATTATATACATAACTATGTAATTTACAATTTAAAGATAGAATATCTATTATATTTCATATACATATATATAATATTTATGTATATACATATATATAATATTTATGTATATATATATATATATAATATTTATGTATATATATATATATATATATATTTATAATATAATGTTTTGAAAAAAAATTATATTTTTTATATTTTATATTTTTAAATTTAAGACAATAACGAAGTTGTATATTAATTCAATTGTCTAAGTTAGAAATCTCTTCAAAATCTCTTCAAACCACTTATCTTAATATTATTATTTTTTTATTGGTCTATGATTCTTGCCTTTTGCATAAAAATTATAAAAAATAGCTAATTGATGTATCAAACTATAGTAAAAAAATTAGAATAATAAAAAATAAAAAACAAAACTCCTCAAATATCTACATTGAATAACAAAAGCTCCATCATCACAATGTTTTTTACCGCTTACTACACAATGTATGCCTTGCTTGTCACTACTTTTGTCAAGTTCTTCCTTAATAATGTGCCTCTTTTGTCTGCTTTGCACTTCCTTTAGGTGTTGATGATAATCTTCCTCCCTATCAGATTTGCACCCTAATGTGACTTCCTAATCGCAAACCGCCCTAATGGATTTAGATAGAAGATTGTATTCTTGAAAAGAAAATCAAAGTATCTTCAAAAGTTTTTTGCTATTTGTAGTTTCTCCATCTTCTTTCTTAGGATTCAAACTAATCAATTGCTTCTCATTTGAAAACTTGAATTTGCAAACTCTACATTGATATAGATATTATCTTCTATTGAGTTCTTTGTTAATCCATAAGCATTGTATTGCCTTTTACATTTGACATCTAACAATTACATATAGTTGCTTTAAAAATTAAAAATTAAAATAACAAATTATTATGTGGCACTTTAGAATAAAAATAAACATATAATTATAATAAATATTAGAATTTAAAGGATAAATAAAGTGCCATAAATCATGTTAATATCAAAATGATAATCAAAAAATAAAATTGCTTCTCATTTGAAAACTCAAATCTACAAAGTCTACATTAAAAAAGACATTGCCTTCTATTGAGCCACCAAATCACTCCTTGAAACTTATTTCTCCTGTTTTCAATATGACATTAGACCAAAAATCTACTTAATTCTTTTGCACATTCATATAGCAACCTTTAATATACATTCTTTGACATACATAAATGAGTTTTTAGTTAGTGATTTTAAATTACTACTTTTAAAATGAAATAATTGTCTAGCAACAAATTAATCATTGACTTGTACAAGTTATATATTTCAATTATCTTCTTTTAAATTTATCCAAATATTACAATTTTTTGTTGAATCTTAGCCTTAAGGTTTTTTTTGTCTCTACCATTATTAAAAAAAATATAATGTATTATCAAGAACATGAATTTCAAAGAACTAAAAAATCAATAAATTCTTATGTCACTCAAAAAGACTAAAAAATCACTCAAAGATATTATAATATTAAACTAAAATGACTATTATCAAAGATAAGAAGATTAGAAAGTCTTAGATTAAGAATAAAGACTAGAAAGGCATTGATAAGAGTGAAAAAGACTTCACTCTTGTTTTTAATTATATTATCTAACTAAAAGCTACGTTGTGACAATCTACAGGATCTTCAATACATGTCCAATTTACAAGACAAGTTTCTTAACTTGCAAAACAAGTTTCATATATGCATGCCATATTTTTAGCTTGTACCACAAGCTACTCACATCTGTGACACATGTTTAATTTATTGGCCAAGTTTTTAATCTATCAATTAGGTATAAACATGTATAAAGTCAAATACTTGTCTATAAAGCTTCTAAGAAGCTTTACTACAAGATAATATAAAATTTATTTATATTTATCTTTTATCTAATACTTTTTATCAAGGTAAATATGTATGTCCATGATATTATCTCTCTTTCTAGCAACAAGTTCTATGAGTAGTGATCACCATATGTTGAAGAAGTGTAAAATGCAATAAATTATGTTTGCCACATACTTTATTCTTTATTTCCTTTTAAGGTGGTTGATAGATCCTTTCAACTACCAATAATATCTTATACCACGGCAAAAAAACAATCCTATTATTTGATCATTGTTGATGCATTCATTACTTCTTTTAAATAAAACATTTGAAATACCATGAAGAGTCATTTGTACTTCTAATAAAATCACCAAATATTGAGAGTTTCTTCCAAAGTTGTGATACTAAATACATTTTATCTAGCCATTTATTTGAAGAAGAATATGTTGTTTTTAAGAATCTTTATTTTTATTACATTATCTTGAAAGTTGTGACAATCGCAATGTTTCATCTCATAAGTCAACAAATAATAGCTCTTGAATTGATTTTGTTTGTTGTTAGTTCTTCATATCCTTAGTATTATAAATATACAAAAAACTACAAAGAATGATAAAAGATAGAATGCCATCTTTCATGATTTTTTTTATAATAAAGATTTATCTTAATTTTAATAGATGTTGTTGATGAAAAACATTAATTTTTTTTATAGAATTTATAAGATTCTTTATTGGCTCTTATGTGCATTTACTAACATCATATTTGTATCAATGAATAAGATATTTCAACATATTTTAATGCCACCTTGAGTCTAAGACTTCTTTTATTTCAAACTCTTGATTATTATCTATTTTTATAAAAAGAAATAGAATTTATCTTTTTTTTAAGATATTCACTATCTCATATGGTTTAAAAAGAAATATGTAGAATATATGATAGATTTTCTTAGACTTTGATAGATGTAATTGATAAAAAATTAGATTTATTTATTCACAAATAGAAAATGGTTCAAGCTTACGGTAATTCAACTCATCACAATGGTAACTAGTCTTAATATTGTGATGGAGTAACCATACTTTGTTGCTAATATAGAATTAAAATTATTTTTTGCAATAAACATTTGTATTGATTTTGTATTTTTCTTGAGCTATTTTTAATTGTATCTTTATTTTTTTTATATAGTTTAGATAAATAATTTATTAAATCTTTTACTTTAAGATTATCAACTTATGTAAAGTCAAAAGTATTAAATTATAGATGATGATCATAATTAGTAATAAAGATATTTATTATGTAAAAAAATATATTATATTATTACAAGAAAACTTTACCAATGACAAAAGATTTGTCGAATCATCTTGTTGGTAATTGATGATACACCTCAAATATTACTTCAAAACTTGATTAACTTGTTTTATTTGTCCATTGATTTGAAGATAAAAAATCAAAGATAATTTCATGTCTATTTTTAGAATATTAAAAAAGATTCTTTAAAATCTTGATACAAATTGAATCCTTTTATCTAATATAATATCCTTAGACAATCCATAATAGCGATAAATATTGCCAAAAAAAAAATTTAACTGTTTCTTCATTTGTAGTAGATTTTGTACACGGCACAAAATGAGCCATTTTGGTAAAATAATCTACTATCATAAATATAGAATTATAAGAACCTATTATGAATATAGAATTTTATGTAATTGTGGATTTATTTCAAGAATTGCATCATTATTTGGAAAGTGCTTTCAATCTAGTCACAAAATAATGATGCAATTCTTGAAATGAATCCACAATTACACAAAATTCTTTGATATGGATCTTGTAGTTGATCTTGGTTCTTGAAAACTATTTGGAATAAAAAACTACTAAGTAGAGTTTGTCATCTCTTTCCATTTGTGACAACATTGTATCTATTGTAAAGTCTGATGCATCTATTTCTATAAAATATATATTAAAAAAGTTGATACAATACAATATTAGTGTAGAAATAAATGATTTCTTTAAGCCTTCTAAAGATGTTTTGGCTTCTTTCTTTTACTTAAGTTTGTATTTACATATTAGACATATAAAAAGAACTATAATTTGAAAAAAGTTTTTGATGAAAATCTAATAATAATTGAAAATTTTTAAAAAATATTACATAACTTTGATTATTTTTGAGATTTTCCAATCCATTATAGTTTGAACCATTTTAGGATCCATCTTAAGGCCATCATTTGATATGATGTATCTTAAGAAGTCAACTTGGATAGTGTGAAATACACACTTTTCTATCTTGACATATAATCTTACATTTCTTAATTTTTGTAAGATACGTTGAATATGAAGTTCATATTTTTTGGTATTTTCAAAATAGATTAAATTTTTTTTGTATAGTAAAAAATAAATTCATTAAAAACTCACAAAAGATATTATTTATTAGATATTAAAAAGTAACTAATATATTTATAAA